AAACCACCATTCATTCAAATTTTTATATGTGTATATATATTGTATCTATATATACATTGTAGATTTGAATATACATATGTCCGTGAACGTGTGATAACTTGAGTAATTTTTGTCCCATTTTGATGAAATTTGGTTTGAAGGTGTAAGGCGCGATAAACTTGAATGAGTTTGCAAATTAGCATGATCGCAGCATGGGAATGGGGTTTCAATAGGGGTTTTATAGGGTAAAAAAATAGTTTTTCTCATTTTTGAACCTCAAAATACAAAATTTTCCAATTTCTCCTTAGACCTTTTTAAAGAGACTAAAAAAAGAAATAATTTAGTATTTCGGTGTTAGTGTACAATTTATTGGTAACGGATAAAATTCAACAAATTGTAAATTTAAAATTCCAATGTTATTCTTATGGAGAATATTGTAAAATGTTGTAGTTTGCATGTTTATTGATATATTTTGATCAAACTATGCAAACTTATTTATTTTATACTAAGCTATTGATATTTTACAAAACAAAAACAGTCTTTATTCCAAACCCAAACCTTATGCAGCAAGCCTAGGTACTCGTTAAATCTAATGCTATTTGAAAAGATTTGATTGAAAATCAATTCAAGATTTAAGATTCCAGATAACTTTATTCATTTTTCATACATGTGTACATAGAATGGCGTCAATTTAAATTTTTTTACTAACTTACTACATTAAACAAAAACATTATAAGTTAATGATTTCAATTCAGACAAATTGAAATTCGCTTAGTCAGCAGATTTGTACCATTGTGATGGAAAATGTCCGCAATAAGCCTTTAAACAACATCAACTCAGCATCGCCAGACAATGAACTTCAAACAAAGAATAAAATCATGTTATGACCAACAAATTTGTATTATATTTGCATCTTTGAAATTTGTTACTATTGTAACTAGCCTAGTAAAACCTGTTTTAGTTTTGATCATTTAAAATATTTCTAGAGAAACCTGGTTGACAGTTCAGTTTTAACACATCTTTCCCCTGAGAAAACACAACAACTTTACCTGACAGTAAAAATACGCTGACGAAACAAAGGACCTGAAAAATAAATGTAATGCAGGCCATAATGAAATTGCGCGAACAGTTGTTTATTTATAGATCGCTCTGCTGTAAAACCCGCTTGAATGCGCTCACTTCTATTTCCATCTTCTAAAGTATCAAATTTAAAATGTTTTAAAGTTATATTATGCGCTGAATGAAATATAATTATTTATGATTTTAAAGAGTAGTGTAGGCCTACACAATTTGGTCTAGTATCTAGAAGATTTGAACAATTTATTTTTATAAGCTTATGACGTGAAATTTGTTAAATTTTAAATTTAAGGTCAAAACAAAGATAATGTCTAATTAGAATGTAAAAAACCATTTAGACTAAAAATGTTAAGATACACGTCTATAGCATCCCAGCTTACAAGTTAGTTAATATGTCATATTATTTTTTTATTTATTTGTTTGAGTTATGTTTTCTTGGTTAACACTCAGATGTTGGAAAGCGTTCACCAATACAGCGAAGGACCTCATAAGAGACCTATATCTTTTATGTATGGTTACAAGGAAGGTCTTACAATGCTACAACTTATAAAGTGGGTTCCAAACCAATATCTGATAGGTAATGCCTACTGGTGATTGGCAGGACTTGGACCCTGGCCTCTGGGACAGAAGACCTGAGCTCTAACCACTATACCAGTTGTGTTCCAATATTTTAATGGGGGTTAGCTTATTAAAGTTAGAGGTAATAATAACCAAGACACTATTTAAACTAAATTTTAAAAATACCCCCCTTCCGCAGCAAACCTGCAGAATAAGCAATCTTCCATTTGTCTGATTTGATTTTCAATTAAATCTATTTCAATAACATTAGGTTTAACAAGTACCTAGGTTTGCTGCTACATGGAGGGTAATAAACTGTGTTTTTTTTTCATTTTTAGTAATATATTAATAGCTTGGTATAAAATAAATAACTTTGCAAATTTTGATCAAAATGTATACATATACAAGCAAACTATAATAATATAAAAAAACAACAACAGTAAACTACAACAGTTTAACAGTTTACTTATTCTCTATAAGAATAACATGGGAATTTTAAATTTTCAATTTTTTGTAAATTTATAGTGCCAGGGTCTTCTGGAATATTGACTTTATTTAAGCTTTTTAAGGCCTTAGCAAAAATAAAGGGAGGGTACCCACAGTTGTGGATATGTGTTTTTTATGTTTTCCAGTTCTGTTTTAAGAATTTCATCAGTACAGTACTACAAATGGATTCTACCCTTTTAATCAAACTAATGGCTAGACCTGTCTTAACATGTCTGGGGTGATTGGAGGAAAAATTGAGGTATTCACCAGTAGGTTTCCTGAATACACTAGTGATCCATCCTTGTGTTTATAGAAGCGGTAATTTATCATCTTTTTCCAGTTTAATTGTAAATTGTATAGACTCTACCTGACTGTTTAAAAGTGTTCTTTAAATTAAAGTGCGAATAAATGTGCACACACTGGCGGATTACCCATTAGGCACGTAGACCACTGCCTATAGGCGCCAAAGGTCTCAGTGGGTCGCAGACAAAAAAAGAAAAGTTACAAACAAAGATAAGTATGGCTCCAAATATACAATCATGTTTTAGAAGTGAATCATATCGTTGGTTTGGGTTCATCTACAAGGAGTCTGATTGGAGGAAACTAAATAAGGCAGAGTGGCTTTTCATGGCGATCAAAGACGAGCAACTTTCAAGACCATCAGTGGATGTCTGTACAGTGTATTTAAACGTTGTAGTTGAACTACCGTACTCTCAGAACTAGGCAGATGAAAACCGTCAGTCTCCAGTTTGTCACCCTGTATATATATTTATTTAAACATATGGTGTTTTTGGCCTCTGGGGACATCAAAATGAAAAAGTAAATCGATCCCAGGTCCAGGTCTTACCTTGAGACCTATGGTAATAGCTTATTCCCTATATGGAAAATTTGCTAAAAGGAATAACAAGTTCTTTATTCTCAACTAATTTTTTGTGATACAGAGCATTTCGCCACCTAGGATTGGCTTGGTGCGATCATCGTCGCCAGCTAGGATCGGCATGGTACGATCACAATTGCCAAATAGGATCGGCATGGTACGATCATCATTGCCACCTAGGATTGGCATGGTACGATCATCATTACCACATAGGATCGGCATGGTATGATCATCATTCCCATCTAGGATCAGCTTGGTGCGATCATCATTGCCACATGGGATCGGCTTTGTGCGATCATCATCGCCACCTAGGATCGGCATGGTATGATCATCATTCCCACCTAGGATCAGCTTGGTGCGATCATCATTGCCACATGGGATCGGCTTTGTGCGATCATCATCGCCACCTAGGATCGGCATGGTATGATCATCATTCCCACCTAGGATCAGCTTGGTGCGATCATCATTGCCACATGGGATTGGCTTTGTGCGATCATTATTGCCACCTAAGATCAGTTCAGTACCCACAAATAGGTGAGCAGAACACTTTTATAACATTTATGGTCTAATATTTTAGCTTTTTAGGTAATATGCATGTAGCTATTGCCCATTATTTTGATAGATAATTAATATGAAAACACCATGAGTGATTTCAGAAAAACTATATGCTGCTTGCCGATCACGAGATTGCCTTATTTCATTTGAGTACCTGGTTGGTACTCAAAAAGTGATTTATTAACTACATTAAACCCTTATTAAGAAAATCATCACATTTTCTTAGTTTCAAAATACAGAAAGAAGGCTTTTGCCTAAGTATATTTTTTAGAAATTATTTGAGCAAAACCTCAAAAATGTAAGTGTTGAGTGCTAGTTTACATTAGGTTAGGAGTAGAATGTTTTCTCTTTGTTGTTTCGGCTGCAGCTCCTCTGGCGGTAGTTTATCACGCTACTCATGACAGTTGGGTGACTCCACAATCTGCAGTGACGTCGTACCGTATGTGGCGGTAGATGTAAACCTCGATTTATCATGCCGCTAATTAATATTTGTAGTGCTGAACTCGTTGTACTTTTCATTTATAGACGACGCTGGTCACAAAAGAGAAAATGGTGGATACAACCAATAATAAGGTACAGAATGTCTCAAGGAATGTTTCAAACATTGCATACCAAACTAAGAAAGTATTCAGACATGTTTTTTGATGATTATAAAATGTGTCAAAACTCTTTTTATTATTTACTAGAAGCAGTATCATCACGTTTGAAGAAGAAGGATACCAAACTAAGAAAACCAATTGGAGCAGAGGAAAAGCTTTCAGTCACATTATGAAGGTAATTTTAGTGTACTGAAATATTAACTAATTAATGCTATACAGTGTAACATCACTATAACAAGCCAAGCAAGTAATGAATTGTTGTATATAACGTAGTATTTTGCAGTATCCGTGCAAACGCTATGTCACTCAATAGATAATGTGCCCCTATAAAGCAAACTAAATACGTATCCTTTATATAACGTTAGTCATTGAGATTTTCTTCATCCAATTCTACTACTTTTCTTCACCAAAAACCGCAAATTTTTTGCTGCCATCAACTCTAGCACTTGTTTTTGTAAATCTATTCACCTTTGTTGTACAAACTGGGGTATTTCTCTACTTCCAATATAATAACCTCACAATTAAGTTCAGGCTTCATCATTCACAAAAGAATCCACAAAACTCAACTAGCGTCAATGTGCCTTGCGCATATATACTGGTCAGCTGTTGACAGAGACTTGACGTGGTGCTACCCTCTACAGCTAGTGAAGCCACCTGCAGACTGTTGCTAGTGGAGCCACCTTCGTTTGATTCCTACCTTTCCTTTTCTTTAACTTTCCATCCCCACTTTTTTTGGGTGACAGACTACGGCCAGTGAAGCCGCAGCCTTATAGTCACAATTTTGCTATATTATCATGGGCTGTGGTCTACTTATCTTCCTTCTCACATCTTATAGCCGTGATATAGGTACCGTAATAAAAGAAATAATATTTAGTAAAGATTTTATTAAAAAAATAACATAAAAGCGAAATGATGAAGTATACAAAACAGATGATGATAATACTTTATAAGGCCTAAAAACCCGACACTACATAGAATTTTTATTTTCGTGATAGTTTTTTGTTGTTTATAAAAATATCCCTCTACCATGAGATTAGATGTAAAAACTTACTCTCATATACAATAGGCTGTATACACTCTTACACAGATCTATACACATGCACAATGTATACAAACAATCATACAATAGCATAATTACAGGTTATACACGTAGTTATGGTATTGTTATATTTACATATAAAAGCTAAATGTTCCTTATATAGTGTTATTTGGTTATAGGTGAAGTAATTCTTTTTAGTTGTCTGTAAAATCAAAGAGTAAAATATTAACTAGATTGTTGCAACTTATGTTGTAATGTGATTGTAACACTTTGTAAACACAGAGTGGTTGTTAGATACTAAAGGTAAAACACTGTTAGAAGCTAATTAGGAATAAGTCTGGAGATTTTTATGTACAAGTGTTTTTGGACAATATAAATATTTCTTTACAATAATATTTGTGTACAAGTAACATTATAACTTACAAGTAAATGACAAAACTAAAGATATGGTTTTTATAATTATGTGTGCTTACTCTTAAGTTTACTTGGTCTCTTAACATGTATTGGTCAATGAGTATTATGCAAAGGATATAAGCTTAATAAAACGAAAAATCACCTGAGAAGAAATTAAAAGTTAGAAAGTTGTGTTTATCTTAAAACATTTTATCTGGAAAATATGTTTCTTTATCAAACCACGACATAATCCTGGTGGCAGTGGTTGTAACCAACCCTTACGAAGGTGTTTTGGTTTATTAGATTACAATTATGAATGAGTAACATACAACTAATTATTACAAATCAAGAAATTAATTAAAAAGGATAATAAATATGTATATATATATATATATATTCTAAAGCTAATCTAACTGTGGTCTATTGCACATATTACAGTTTTGTGTAGGAATAATAAATGCATATTATGTGGTCCCTTAGGCACGGTATAATATTAAGTACTGGCAGTTTTAACTCAATCCTGAATGTAAATTTGTAATCGTGATTCAGTTATCGCTCATGATTATTTACCAACAGTAAAAAAATAACAGTGAAAATTAAAGCTACTTGAAAATTCTAGTAAAGTTTAAGTGAATTGAATATATTTTAGAATTCTTTCGTGTGAAACACATACAAAACTGCCTTACAAAGAGTTTAACAAACAAATAAACAATTGAAGATAAATAATGGAATTGTAAATTTTATTGCCAGAACTATATTTTAATCTTTACTGAATAAAGAAGGACTTCTGGCATAAATATGGCAAATTAAAACTAAATAAAACGTCTGAATAAGATTCGTTGGTAGCACATAATCATTCACACATTCATTGTACAATTGAGTAATATACTTAAACTTAAACACTAGCGTTTAAAATATACACTTTGAGCAAATGCCTACATTTCATTCTATAAACATACATTTCTCTTAGAGTAAGTACTAGAATCTTATTATATCAATTACAAAACACTTTAGTCAATTATCTCTTTCTCTGTTTGTTATAGACATTAAACTATTTCTAGAAATATAAAAAATCATACGAGACTGATAGTTAAAGATAGCAACAATTAGAAATAAGATGAGTTAGAGCTATAATCACAGTCTGGTAGATTGGAAGCACAGAAACGGAATTGTGAGTGGAGGATAGATAAAACAATCTTCGACTCAACAAAAGCATAAAGAAAAAACAACTGACAGAATATGAAGAAGCCACATTCACTCATTTCACATTTGACACTCTTTTTGGTCTTGAATCGGGAGAAAAATATCACCCAAAACTTTTGCTGTTATCAGCAAAATTCAAAAGCTGATCTCAATCAAAATCTATTTACAACAACTCAGGTGTAATCTAATGAGCCATCCACTTGGTTAAAACATTTAAAGAATAACAAGATCCTTATCGGATTACACGATAAACATTGCACAGACTGTATAATAAGGTGACCTTATGTTTAAAGAATTTTAACAATTTTCAACTGCAACAAAAGAAGAATTCGGAATTAAAAACTAAGGTTTGATATTTTAATCGAACATAGTTGATTTAAGACACTATTAGTTTAATACTGACTGTGTACGATCTATATTTTATTTATTTTACAAATAGTATATGAAATAAAATAATCAATATAAAACTCAGATTTGACATTGATATACATTCATAAAAAGATCATAGATATTCATATATATTAAATAATCTGAACGTATTTTATGTCTACAAAAAAGTCAAACTCGGTTTGCATGAAGCATTTTAAATGCACAAAAGTATAAAAAATATAAAATATCTTCAAGGGTGGAGTATAATGTGAACTAACTGACGCTATAAGTTAAGGCCTGATTATGTACAAGTTAGCCCGTGTATGAGGCAATATCTGTAGGCAATGTATACGCAGCCAGCTGAGATGGACTGCTACTTCATCCGATTGATGACCAAGTCACTAACAACCATCAAAGATCTCTGATAAGGACTCTCGCGTATAGAGCCAGCCAATCGAGCAGCCTCCAGGCAATGCTTTTTGGCTAAGAATCTGGTCTGCTCCAACCCCTGTGACTTGTGTACCAACTCAAACGCTTTCTCTACATCTCCTGCCTCTTGGAACCTCCGCATGATCATCGGGTTGAGCTCCGGAAACTGAAAACCATACATATCCACATCACTATAACTATACATATCAGAGTAGAGAGAACCTGATCATTTGGTAAAATATTTTGAATTTATTTTTGAAGCAGCGTCTTAAGAACTTTACACCAGAAATATTATCTAAATTTAAATAATGTAATTCTGTTTTAAAAAGTAGACAATTTGGCTACTATCAAAGTCTATTCCACATCCACCATGCAATGTGCTTAGGACATACTTTTTTAAATAGTACAGGGTGCGGCAAAAAAACTGAACCATTTTCTGCAGAGAACTGTTCAGCGACAGGTCGTCTGAGAGTGGTGGGAGAAGTCTCGTTGGAAAGCCTACAAAAAGCCATTTTTTTGTAGTCGTAGAGCAGTGGACCCCTCCTGAGCAAGTGCGGTTGTTATGGAGTTGTTTTAAAAAAAGTATTGAATTCATTCATTGCAACTCAGCGGCAGTTTCATGCATTCTTTCAATTAAGGCGACATGGAGAAGTTCCGTTGCCGATCACAATAATGCGGTCGCGGTGGGTTACTAACTTTAGAACAACGGCTTCTGCATTGAAAAGGAAGCTGAAAGGTTGTGCAAAGTCAGATCGGACGCCAGACAACTAACATTCTATAGAGTTCGTGCTGTTGTGGAAAACAGTCCTCGCAGGAAGCGCCTGCCCGAACATGTCTGACAGCTCAGTTACACGAATTTTGAGATTAATTTATCCCTACAGATTAATTAGAATAATAATCTGTTTAATTGTGTTATCCATACAGATAATCACAATGAAACATGTCCATGTCGACCTAATAGAATAAAAGCACAAAACTACCACTGAGTTGAAATGACTGATTTATTACTTTTGAAAAACGACTAGATAGCAACCGCACGTAGCTCATACAACCACTGCTCTATGACTTCAAAAATGGCATTGTATAGGCTATTAAACGCGCCTACTCCCACCACCCTCAGAGGGCCGGTCGCTGAACAGTGCACTGAAGAAAATAGATTGGTTTTTTTGCCGCACCCTGTAGTTCCAGCTACGTGACACTAGCCGCCCTAAGAACCTCAGGATCTGCAAAATACTTCTTAAGTTTTTCTTTTTTTTTAAGACTCTTTAAGCACTATACCAATAATTTTGATTTTACTGGAGTCAAATTCCAAATCTTTAGTAAAAAACATCAATATTGGAGCTAATACCTGTAGCACAACTACATAAAATAAAATCTGTATGCATGGGGAATGTGGAATATAATATAATTATTTTGGTAAAATAATCGTTTTGAAAATGATTTCATGCGTTATCAGGTCAAAATTGCTGGATCCCGATGTAAATGAAATGAGTAATCATAAATTACACGTTTCGTATGACTGGAAAAAACATACAATAAAGATGCCACGGTACACCTGTCCTGTGTGTTACTGTACTGTTATTGATACAAAATAATGTGTAATATTGACGTTAAGTACAATTTGTAGAATGTTTTGGCTGACAGTAAAACATCAAAACTGTTGGGTCTCAGGATAGTACATACAAATACATAACCTCCTCCTTCTCTTATACAAGGTAGTGGTATTGTTGTGTGGCAACATCACCCCGGTCTATTGCCATGGTAATAACAAACGTGTTAACATAAACACTGCACAAACGCTCTATGTTGCAGTAGGCCAGGAGTGTGACGTTGCCACTTTTCATGTATTATAGGATGCCTAGACGAATATTGCTCATTATCTTACACAAAAGATGTGTTCATCCTTGTACAATACTAGCTCACAGATCTGTGTATAAGGGCAATAAACCGCCGAGCTTGTATGGTGGACTAGTCGACACTTTGGAATACAAAGGGTTTGTAGCTCAACATATCTCACTCAGACAATAGCAGATTTTGCCAAGAGGTTCATTTGAAAGTGAAACAAGATGGGGAATCTTCAAAATAAAAGAGGGGAAATTTCTTTGAAAGAGAGGAATTTGAGTGAAAATTTTCTTTCTAACCATTTCAAAATGTAGTTGAAGTTTCGCACAATTTGTAAAATATCTCTGACCACAAATGGTATATCGATGCAAAACTAAAAGTGTTATTAAATTTCCACCTACTGTATAGGGAAAGAAGCTAATACTCTAACATTTATACAGTTTTATTTGTAGTGTCTCTAAACATTTATAAATTAAGGTTTATTTAAATGAAGTGTCAAAGTTGTCCTCATACTTGCACAAAACTTTACTTTTACAGTAAAATAGTGATTAAGTTCACCTAAACTTTACCACACGCTTGCACGTTTTTGGCACAGCGTGCAATGCACGTGTAGTGTGTGGGCCGCTTAAATGACATGTAATCAACCCATTCACACACATGATGAATGTTGAAAGGTGAGCGACATGCAGAAAATGTGTTGGAGAGTTTGAATTTCAGTATTTGAAAGGTTGTCAGCACTTTGTATGCTTTGAAACAGTCCATTCTCAAGGCACTAACATTCCTTCACTCTTGGTGCCTTGAGAAAGTACTGCTCCGTCTCATCCAAAACATCAGAAACCACTTCATTGTCGTCTGAATCCACGGGGCTGTCACTCAAAGGACCAGGATTTACCACCCTTAGGCATTGACGGTGGAAGCCTAAGAGTTTAGGATTTTAATTTGAAATCTGTGACGACCTAGATTGTTGACTGGTTACTCCCATACATAAAAAAGTTCAATTGAAAAAAATAATTTAACTACTATGCAAAAATATTACCTTTTCACAAGCAAAGAGCACGGGAGCAGTGGCCAAGCCTAGTTTTAGATCTGCTGCTGTTGGCTTTCCCATTGCTGCTGAAGAAGACACAAAATCCAGTAGGTCATCGACAAGTTGAAAAGCCAGCCCAACGTTGCGGCCATACTGGAAGGCAACTTCAGAAGTCTTCTCGTCTGCTCCAGCAAGCATTGCCACCTGAGTAATATATATAAAGAAAGATCAACAAAAGTATGTTTTGCGTGCGGCAAACGTCGTGTTTGTTCAGCTGAAGTTGAGTGCATTCGTGGTTTGCTGCCCGCCCGCCATTTTGCTGTTGGTTTTGCTTAGTTGCCAATACTGTAGTGAGTGATGCTAAAGGTACAGTTACGTTGTGAGGTGTGTTGTTATCTCCAAGCACATCATGAGAGGAATTCCAAGCAGCATGAAACAGGGAACTGAGTTTAAACAATTTCAACTATTTGTATTTACTAATATAGGTTTAAATTACCTGTTTTCTGTCAAAACGATCGACTTGGTAGTATGATGACTACAGCTCTTTCGTGCTTTTTAAAAATAGCACATCTTCAGGTCGAGAATGTCTTGCTAATACATCATGTGGAGTTCGTCAAAAATGTAAACAAAAAAATAAACGGACACATACGGATATGACACACACAAAAATACATTTAATTAACTGGTCCACCAGACACGGCGCCGGTGGAAGGTAAGTCGCGACTGTCACGTGTTGGCAGCGTTGACCCCTACCCCTGTGCTTTCCTTATCTCGTTTTTTTGTCTGCTTTTTGGCGATATGGATGGAGGTGTTATGAATAATGTTCGATTTGAATGACAATGTCTTGTTCAGGATGTTTTGTGGTTGACTTTTTTATGCTTTTTTAACCTTCCATCGGGCGCATCACGGAAGTTACCTCCGGGTCACTACTTTTTTCGTTATAAAAACCATAGTATGTGTTCGGTTTTGTATACTTTTACCCTTTTCCCAGTTGTCAGTTGATTTTGGGGAGTGGTTCGTTTCACTACTGGAAGTAGCTTCCGTGAGCGCCCTGTGATGTAACGGGTTTCCCGGAGCCTAGTTCCGTGTGCGCCCTTGTGTCTGACCTTATTTAGCGGTATTATAAAATGGATGAAGAAGAACTAATTGCGAGATTGTTGGCTAGTGTTGAAAGGGGGACAAGGAACAACATTTAGTAGAAAGAACTAATGGTGCGTGAGTTCGGAAACCTTTTTTCCAAGAAAAAGAGCTTTGGCAAAATGTGTAGTCCTTCTAACAAAAGATTTTTTGCATTGGACAATAGGTGTTTCATTTCAAACACTACTGCAACTTTTTCTAAAGAGCTTTGACAAAGTAAGTTGTTCTTATGAAATAATTATCTTTTTTCATAATACCATGGGTGTTATTATGTCCTACACTGATGCAATTTTTGTCTAAGAGCTTTGATTGAATAAGTTGTCCTAATACAAAATTATTATTATTATTAGACCATGTACGTTTTTTTATGTCATACAATATTAAAATTTGTTTTCTAATATACGATAGTACTGTATAGGTACAAAAAGTAAGTCTTTTTTATCCACAACACTTACGTGTTTTTATTTTTTAACATTCTCTATTTGATATAAAACCTAAGTAATAATGTAAACTCATAAAATATGTATTCTTACAGTTTTATTGCTATTAACATTTTTTTTGCTCATCATTGTATAGTTTTTGTGATCCCAGAGGTAACTTCCGTGGGTGCGCCCTTTGGTGTTTGAAAATCAATGTGCTTGACGGAAGGTTAAAAAGCACGAAACAGCTGTAGTCATCATACAAACAATTCGATCGTTTTGACAGAAAACAGGTAATTTAAACCTATACAGTATTAGTTTATTCAGACGATCTAGAGGCCATTCCATCATGTATTTGTATTTTCTTATGAAGGCCACATTTCTAAGATTAATGCAGTCATTGACAAAGGAAACTTACAAACGTGTCAACAAAAGACAGAGAGATAAGCAGAAAGCAGAAGGAAGGGTTACACACCAAAGTCACTGACTTAATGACACTGACATTTATTGTGCTAGTGACATCGCAGGGCCGTTTGAAGGGGGGGCAAGCTGCCTCGGGCGCCGAGGCTGAGGGGGCGCCACACAGCGGCTATTTGTATTAACATAGTATTAAAATATGCGAATGCGACTGACTATTACTGGGGGGGAGGGGGCGCCACAACCACGTTTGCTCCGGGCACCACCAACCCTACGGGCGGCCCTGGGCTCACTCGAAAAACCAACCTGTGTTAACTTATAGATCCATACACACCAGTGTCACGGACACGTTGTCTGTGACTCACGTCACTCCTACAAGCCTCTAGCGAACCAACCTGTCGGTGTTTGGACGGACATGTCTCTTGCCTTAGGCATACACAAAACACGTTTCCTTAGTTGTTAAAATATTGACAGCCTTTCTTCAACGCTAATTTATTGATTTCCGCCAATAGTTATTATCCTCGATACATTTATCTTTTACAACAATATATATATATATATATAACACAACAATATATAACGATATTACAACAATCTAGAAAGATCAAATGTCGCACAACACCTGTTACAAAATGGCCACTCAATAGGAAAAATGGAGGATAGTCTATGTATTTTAAAGAATTGTAAGAAAGGATGTGTAATGAATGCTTGGGAAGAATTGTATATTTATTAGGAAAAATGTAAAAATAGAAATAAGTTGATTAATGAACAAGTAAATTTCAATTCCAGTTGTACTTATAAAAATGTATTGGCCGGTGCTTCCGGTAGCCAATAGGGTACCTATAAGTAGGGACACCATTCTTGTCATTCGCCTATTGGGTCTGATGATGATTGGAGGGAGTGTCCAATCGAAATTGATCACCACTTACCACCTTTTTGTATATTTACCGTCTTGTGAGTAACAGTATAAGCGTAAATATATGTTTTAAGTGTTACAAGACGTTTCTTTATTTACTTTCTGTAAATTTAATAACATGTACGATGCTGATCAAGAAGTTATTTATCTTTCAACAGACTGTTTTTCAAAAGATTCAGGTTTCATCCTATAGAGATTTTGGAACTTTTCAGGGTGTTGGAACAACTGTCTTGTTGAAGTAAATTTACTGAATAAAAGATTATCTTTCAAATCAGGATGGGTCCAGAATTATCTTTGAACATGTATTCTTCACCCTCTTTTTCTTCTCCTTAACCCCAATAGGAACAACACAGCATTCTACTCTGATGGTGACATTATTGAAACTGATTCCTTCTCTTTCTTCTCACTAGCACGTGCCCTCTTCTGTGTTTGTATTTTATTGGATGTCACCGACATCATGCTAGTGACATCAGAAATTTCAGTGACAATGGTGTGTACCTGTCTTAAAACCCGCCTTAAAAGGGAGGAGAAAACAACATGTGTCACAATCACCATCAGTGAAGCGAAGCACTGAGTTCAGGAAAGTGCCAAGATATGATGGAATCAAGAGCACAGTCATCAAGAGGATGTTTGTTGGAATGAAAAAGAGAATGCTGTTGAACCTGAACAAAAAGATGCTGAGGGCAGGTGGGTTTCCCGACACATGTACGAAAGGCATTATAAAGATTTTTCTGAAGAGTGAAGATAAAACTTAAGCATAGTAAAATCCTACAGGCCAGTAACCCTCTTATCTGTGTTTCAAATGTTAGATGAAAGGCTGGTTATATGAAGAGAATGAAAGAATGATGAGAGAGAGAGAGAGAGGAAATAAGATAAATTCTGCACAGATTCTCGACAAGTGTGAAAAAGTTAAGGATTGTTCCTGGAAATTTCCAGTGGGTTTGACTCCCCCTGGTGGCATGAAAATATCCGAGCCAGGATTGTTGCTTTAGGAGCTGGCAACAAAGAGGAGGGCAAAATTATCACAAAAGGATGTCCCCAAGGATCTGTGGAACATTGTGTTTTATTGGTTTCTGCAGCTGCTATTCAAGAAATTTATCCCTGCGAGAACCTATACGGACGACGGAGTGCTTCTGGTGAAGTCGAATACGAGCCCTGACTTAAAAACAACTAGAGCCCAACAATTCACAACCAGCTGGAAAAAGACAGTAATATGACTTTTTTGAAGGACAGTGATGGTGCTCCTGAAGGGAAGATTAGTTGAGAGATTAATATGTATCAAAATAGGAGATGGCACAAAGCAGTGTTTGAATGACACAACAAATTTAGGAGAAAGGATTCAAGTTTGCAGGGCATTATTACTAAGTGAACAAAAAGTCTATAAAGGCACTTGATAACAAGCAACGGCATAAGAGATGAAAACCTACAAAAATGATACATCCCAGCACTTGAACCCATGGAGTTTTAAAGCTGTGAGATGTGGGGTCAACAAATGAAAAAAACAAGGTGAGAAGTCAAAGTTGATGAGTCTGCAGAGAAGAATACTGTTGGGAGTGAACTAGGTCTACCACCAAGAGGTGCGAGTGATTGCCGGAGTTATCCCACTGGACTTGGTGTTCGAGGAAAGAATTAAAAGAAGGAGTTGCTGTCAGGGAAAGCGAGAAGTTTCAAAGGGAAGGAACACTTAAGAACGACAGAGGCTGTGAGAGATTAGCACAAAAAGACAATAATCCTTCACGGTTGTTCGAGATGTGATCATGTGAGGCCTAGGAAGATTGAGTGGATGATAAACTAATCATTACACAATACAGTTCGTCAGTGGACACGGCAACTTCAAGGCAATTAAAGCTGAGGAGTTTTAACCTTGTGGAAGATGATTGTTGCACTCACTGCGGAGAGCTGGAGAGATCGCAACATGAGCTGATAGAGTGCTGTTTTATAAATATGATATCAAATCCCTGATATAATTCCTCCTACAAAAGACATTGACTCAGGAAAGGAACTTTTAAAGGAGTAGGAAATCTCAATTGGACTTAACCTGTCAGTTTTAAAGAGTTAGGAGGAAGAAATATCACTTTGAATATGTAGGACAGCTCGCAGCTTGGAGAGGAAAAAACTTAAACTATAAAAACGTGAAAAACATAAAAGATTTAATCAAAATTCCAGTGGTTCTAGCACATTCAAGTTAGGTGAGGGGAGACGTTTGTTGTTGGGCACATGCAGTGTCTGGAAAAATTAATACAAATAATCGGGAAGAAACCAAAGATGTTCAAGAAAGCAGTGAAGTTAGGTGAACTTGTCTCTGACTTAAAACAGGATTGGAGGAGGGACTTCTTAGCTAAGGCCAAACACCTTCCTCCAGTTTTATGGTTTCATCATTCTGGATTTTCACAGCCATTGACATTGTACACAAATATTTTGCAACATCCAACACATCTCCTACTCACCGCTTTGACTGAGTTGGCGATAAGACTTGCTGTCTTCCGATAAGTCTTGGTCAGATAATGAGCAAACCTCTCGTTTTCTGTTTCCTTTGAACCGAGCTGCATGAACTCTCCTTGTACAAGGTCAGTAACAACCTAAAAATCAAAAACTTGTTTAAAGTCACATAAAACTTCATTTCAGGCTAAATAACTCAGGATGGAGTAATGGTTAGTTGTCTATATTCTAGAATTATTCGGCATTTATACTAGAATTAACTTAAATCTTTAGGACTTAAAGACTTTCTCATATAAACAGAAAAATATCCTTAATATTTATTTTAAAGAAATACAATATTTGTATCGAAAATAATAAGTATATTAGAACAGTCATCTAAGAGAAAATTCTGGACCCTGTATTGCATTTCCAAGGACAAGAAGAAATTTAATAAAATTTTAAAATAATTAATGTCTTCAACAAAGATATTCGTCTTAACAGTCTCAATTATTTTATATTTTTCAACTAACTATAAAGAGCAGTAAATTGAACACCAATAGCTCCATTAACATTCTTAAAACTAAATCGTACAAGGTGGTTTATTGAAAAAAAGTCATCACACTTAACATTTTAGTGTAAATAATACCGGGCAAATTGTTAGTTCAGATAATCCAGGGTGTTAAAGGCAATCTAGCCATTAATGAGAGATAATCATTAGAGTGTTAATAACTAATTCTAGTGATCAAAACTGTTTACCTGGCTAAGTGTAAGGGTGACGTCATTGTCTCGGAGTCGTGCAATCATCATGGAAGCTACGGCCAAAATGAAGTCTCCAGCCATCGTTACCTGTGGAAGCCCAGAACTAGATTCAGTATACCTGTTCTTATCTATTGTAATCTGTGAATATTGTCTTACTTTAATGCAGGTTGCTGAAAATAGAGGGGAAAGTTTGAAACAAAAAATTAATCCAATAATATTAATGGCGAAAAAATATCAACAGTATTTTTTAAGATTGGCACAGAAAACCCTAATCTTGTTTATTAAATCGGTTCCGACTCTAACCTTTGTAAAAAGGCATAAAAACTACAAGCTGGCTGAATAACCGAGAAAGGTGGGAAAGTCTATTGTACCTGTACAAATGTAATATGTTCTAGTACAATTTGCAATTTATGTTTGCTTCAAACCAAAAATTTAACTAAACTTGCCTTTTAATTAAAAAAGTAGAATGAAAAGAGGTCACATTAGCTCACGTGGTCAAAGGAATACCACTGAAACTTTTAGTTTAAGATATAAATTCCAACCACCTAATCACGTCATTCTACAACCAAAGACGTTATTTTTAACTAAATTCCTAGATTAATGTTTGTGACAACTTGTTTGGACTTCTTTAGTCATCAAGTTTTTCATTTATTATACAAACTGTTTTTCATTTATTGTTGCAAACGATAATCCCAGTTCATCCCAAGGGCAACAATAAATGAACCAAAAGGTGAGATGAAAATTTAAAAAACTAGGGTCGTTGAGCTTATTGCATCTTATGAATCAATGACCTATCAATATTACGAGGAAATATGGCATTTTAATTAGACATATTATAATCCTTACACGTCGAGGACGACATCATGTGATGTATGCTATCACCGAAACTATCTCACATTCTCGTCTTTCATCACAATGGCAATAAAGATTTCCCATTTGTTTACGTAAATTCCATTAGTATACAGTATGGGCTTTCTCTTTCTAATTTTTAAATAATTGACCCCCTATCCACTAATAGAACTACTTCCATGAACATTGTAAAATAACTACGAAAATCTATCGGTATACTCGTTTCGGTTATTTAGCTTCAAACCAACCAAAACAGCCTACATTGGAACACAATCCTTGCAGAAACGCTCGTATGGAGGGAGGATGGGAGAAAATCCGGGCCAAGCGACGCTGAGGGCAGATGTGGCAACCAGTCATTACTTTATGTTAATACAGTCATTCCCCAGCTTAGAATGTTGCAAAATTGACACGAAGACAGCACTCTTGAAATATTATCTCTTCTCTGTTAATGATTCATTAAAAAAATGCGAGTAGGCATAAATATTTTATTGGTTTTTGGTTTTACGATCATAGGTAAATGTAGGTTTTACAACGAGTAAATGTTGGCTACCTGACGATTTTAGATTTTTATTTTCTAAATTGTTGGATTAAAAATTTCCCAACCGGAATGAAATATGTCTATACGAACAGTGAAAAACATTTCCTTCAAAAAATGTTTGACATAAAACGAGCAGAAACATACATGTTCCTTTTTTAACTGAAGCCCCTGTTCAAAACGTCAAATCATTATTTTGGTACTAATTTGAAATAATAACTTCGCCAATATTTCTGAATTTTTAATTTTTATGAGGCCTTTCGCCAGCTATACTGGCATCATCAGACACATCACAAAACTGAAGGTTATGTTTATGTTTACAATTATAAATTTTAAAGAATTTAACATATGGGTAGTTAAAAATAAAAACTATTCTGTTAAGTACATTTAGCTAAAGTTACAAAAATAAATCATATATGTATAAAAATGAAATCTCAAGTAGAATTAACTTATAACTTTGTAAATTTAGAATTTAGTAATGTAATATTTTGAATTGGACCGTTATCATTATTTACCAAATTGTCCATTTTATTTATAAATAATGATTCCCATGCATTTTGTTCATTGGATTTTGTTATATTTTTTAGTAATTTAGTATTATTGATTGATATTGATATTGATATTGATAATTCAAAATATTACATTACTAAATTCTAAATTTACAAAATTATAAGTTAATTCTACTTGATATTTCATTTTAGCGAATTTCCCATATAGGGAATAAGCCATTACCGTAGTACTCATGGTAAGAACTGGACCCGGGACCGGTTTTTTTTTGGTTTTGAGGTCCCTAGAGGCCAAAAACACCATCTGTTCAAATTCATATATATATATATATATATATATATATATGTCCGTTAGCACGATAACTCGAGCAAAAATGATCCGATTTTGATGAAATTTGGTACCTACGTGTAAACCTAAGTTTATTCGAACGAGTTCGCGAACCAGCATGATCGGACCATGGGAACAGGGGTTTATGGGGGCTTTTATGGGGTAAAAATGGTTTTTCCTTTTTTTGACCTAAAAAACATAAAATTTTGAAATTTCTTTCCAAACTATTTTGTAGAGCTTAAAAAAACAAATAATTTAGTATATTGAAGCGTTATAATGCGCCTAATCGTTAGGGAGAAAATTCCAAAAAAATTTTAATTTAAAATTCCCACGTTATTCTTATGGAGAATAAGTAAACCGTTGTAGTGTGCTTGTTTATTAACATATTTTGCCCAAAATTGGACAATGTTTTTATTTCTTACTAACTATTAACATTTTACATAAAAAAAACACTTTTACCCTCCCTGTTGCAGCAAACCTAAGTATGTGTTAAACTGATTCTATTTAAATAGGGAATAAATGTGATATTTTTAAGGAGACATTTTAGTCTAAATCCAATCAGGCAAATGGAAATTCGCTTAGTCTGCAGGTTTGATGCGGCGGGGGTATTTATACATATATGATTTATTTTTTGTAGCTTTAGCTAAATGTACTTAACAGAATTGTTTTTATTTTTTACCACCCATATGTTAAATTCTTTAAAATTTATAATTGTAAACATAAACATAACCTTCAGTTTTGTGATGTGTCTGATGATGCCAGCATAGCTGGCGAAAGGCCTCATAAAAATTAAAAATTCAGAAATATTGGCGAAGTTATTATTTCAAATTAGTATTAATTCCAATATTAACAGTTCTTCTTGAACATTATTTTGGTGTTGGCTAATAACATCAAATTCTATTGAATTTAGAAACCAAACAAAACAAAAACACAGAATAAGAACATCGGGTGACACAGGGGCTTCTCATTGAGACACAAAGGAAATACTTAGAACTTTAACAGAACAGGTTATCCAAAGTTAACACCATTTGGAACAAATGAACGACAGAATGACGTGGCTTGTATCACGCACACACTTTCACTTGAAATATTTGATCAAAATCCTTGAATCGACGTAACGTGGAGAAAGCCCAGATTCAAATTTCTCCAGGAAATGTGTTTTTTGGCCTTGACGAGTAAGATAGGTTTTCAACGGGCAGTGGGCTCATGGGTCAATCGGTGCATACCATTGATAAGCACGCAGAGTTGTAGAAGAGGGTATTGAAGAATTTTGTATCCTGAAATTTTGAGAGTATTATCAGGTATTGTTTATTTATTGGTTCTTCACCACGAATTGCAAATATTTAAAACTCTGGTTATTGTACTGTATTAGCCGGTGTCGTTTTCAAAAGCAGTTTTGTTTGTTGCTCAAATTTAGGATCTTCATAAAGGTTGTTGGAAATCACACGATTTAAACTGTATAAATGTAATTAACAAAATGAATTTGTTGATACATTCGTCAGTTATTAAAACATTCCATACAAGTAGGCCTAGTCAGTTTCGTAGCGTATTTTTTATTCATAATTCACGGGAAATGTTACACTTAAAGTAAGACATTACACAGCTTCAAACAGTTATTGTCTTCTAAATAAAAGTAGACTATTTATCTTATAATTTACAAGAATAAATAACTATATATGCAATACTGCTTCCCGACGACTCATTACGATTAGATCTCATATTTAAGTAACAAAAATGATAAACTAATAAACCAAAATATAGTTAGGAATCACAATGAAGAGTCCGCAGTGCGTAGAATCGCAGAGTAAGAAAGTTTCGCGCCGTGGTCTGAATGAAAACGAGGAGTACGTGAACGTGATTGGCCAAGGTCAATCCGGGTGAAATGAGGGGGAATTAGAGAACATTCCGTCTGGGAAACTGCAGTATAGGTGATCGAAACTAAAACTAAAATAATTATAATTTTCTACCCATTTTTCCAAAGAAATAAGAGATCTCTTTGCATTTTTTAATTTCTATAAGCTGAGAGTCGTAATTGTTGTAAAGCGATGTTATTTGGTAAGGATCTTAGAGTGTAAGCTATTACCGTATGTCTCATAGTAAGACCTGGACCCGGGACCGATTTACTTTCTCATTTTGATGTACCCAGAAGCCAAAAACACCATACGTTCAAATTCACATATAATGTGTGTGTCCGTTTGCAAGATATAACTCGAACAAAAGAGCTTTAAAAATAGATAATTTAGTATACTGTATTGAAGTGTTTTTGTACGATTATTATTTACGGAAAGAATAAAAACAAATTTTAAATTCCCATTTTATTCTTAAAGAAAAAGTAAACTGCTGTAGTTTGCTTGTTTATGGATATATTTTGATCTAACTTGGCAAATTTCTTTATTTTATATTAAACTATTAATATTTTACTAAAAAAACACACTTTATTATTCTCCCTGTAGCAGTAAACCTAGGTACTCGTAAAACCTAATGCTATATAATAGATTTAAGTCAGAATAAAATCGGGCAAATGGAAATTGGCTTAGTCTGCAGGTTTGCTGCGGCGGAGGTGTGTTTCTTACCTAACCTGTAAAAAACCCGCATGTGAACTGAGAAAGGTAGCTTCAACACTTGAGGTAATAACGAGCTACTTGCCAAATAAGTAAAATAAGTTTTGATTGTACATTATGAGCCGTGACTATTTCCACCGGGCGAATGTCACGACTCATGATCAATGGTTCAAGTGTTTTTTTTATAGTAGGCTAGTTCAGTGTTTCGTTGTCACTCCACGGCCCCCCGAACAAGGCTGTGGGTTTTGTTCTTATTACTCCGACCGCGAAGTGTCAGAGGTTGCGAGACGTCGGATTTGAGTACTTCA